TTGTAAGGGGCTCCCCAATTAGGAATTGCGCAGGTGTAAGGAAATTAGGATCATTGGGGTTGTCACAGAAGGGACAAGGTCTCGAATTCAGACAAGCTCTATTTGGTTCAAAACAGTAATGAAGTCTTCAAATGTCAAACATGAGTTACCAACGACACGCTTCAAATGGTACTTAACCGACTTTACGTTGGACTCCCAAAGTCCCCCAAAGTGAGGGGAGCGAGGAGGTATAAAACTCCACTGTATACCAGAATTCGCCAAGTTTTCCGAGATGGCAGAGGATTTATGCTTCAGAAAACCCTTGAGCTCATTACTAGTGCCAACAAAGGTTGTTCCCTAGTCTGAATATATCTGTGCGCATTTACCCCTTCGAGACATGAATCTATACAAGGCAGCCAAAAAACTCTCGCTAGTCAAATCGCTTACAAGCTATGTAAGCTTTGGAAGTCTTAAAACCGCGCCCCTTGCGATCCTTAAGAGTAAAGGGGCCGGCATAATCAACCCCTGAGACAGAAAATGGTCTAGATGGTGTTATGCGAGCCTTTGGTAGATTGCCCATTATATATTATTGTGTAGATTTGGTATTAAAGCGGAAGCAAACTGTGCAATTGTGATACACACCTTTCACTAGATTTCTTCCACTAATTGGCCAATAACGGAAGGAAGCTAGGGTTAATTGTGGTCCCGAATGTAGTAATTTAATGTGCGAATTGAATGTGAGATCAAAAGCGTAAGTCTGTGTTTAGGAGGTAGTATAATAGGATGTCTTTTTTGAAAATCATGATCAGAATTTTGAAGGCGACCTCCAACTCGTATCACATTGTTGGAATGATCCAAGAATGGATTCAAATTCAAAACTTTTGATTTGTTGGAGATTTTGTGACCCTTTTGCAAAGCAGAATATTCCTCAGGAAATGTCTCAGCTTGTACCAGGCTAATGAGACAATTGAGAGCATCAGTTGTCTCCTGAGCAGACAAATTTCCTTTGCCCATCTTAAGATGAATTGCTGATTTTGGTCTTAGAATATTCTTGAAACGTAATATTTATGCAAAAATGCGACAAAGTTTGGTTAGGTTTGAATATTTGTCAAGGAAGGTAAGACGTCATTGGACTTTTGTTTTTCCAAAGCTACAAGAGCTGAAGAAATGTTTCGCAACTCAGAGGCATCTTCATTTGAAACATTGAAAACCCAGTTTGGCTACTCCTCTTTGACGTGAAATAACCAAGGACGGCCATGGAACCACAAGCCTGAATCCAGTAAGCTTAAAGGTGGTAATCCTCTGGTGAGAAAATCAGCTGGATTGTCAGTAGTTTTGATGTATCCCATTCATCGGAGTTAGTCATAGATTGGATTTGAGAAATTCGATTCGCTACAAAGGTTTTTAGAAGAAGAGATGACTTGATCCAAGCCAATACCTACTATGGTGGAATCGCACCAATAGTTTTTTTCGCTGATTGTAATCGTTATGGATGATAATATTGTTATCATTAAATCAGCTAAGAGAACAGCAGCGAGCCGCGGGATAGTAACCATTTTAATTGGAGAGACCCGAGTTTTGGCACAGACAAGCTCTGAGTAGCTATTACCAAGAGAATCAGTAGAACGTATGTAAACACAGGCTCCATATCCTGGTGTAGCAGCGTCTGAAAAGCCGTGTACTTGAATTTCAATAGAGTTACCACAAAGAGTGAGTCGAGGTTTATTCAGCCTCACCAGCTGAGTCCTATAAGTAGACCAAGTGGTGTGTACGTCCATGGGTAAGGATTCATCCCATAATATCTCGAGTTTCCACAGTTGCTGAAGTATAATTTTAGCAGAGATTGTTACAGGAGAAAGAAGAACAAGCGGATCAAAGATTTACGCAATGGAATTGCGATTGGATTGTGCGCTTTGTAACTCGCTCATTGGGCTCACTAGTACCTATGTCAAATTGCAATGTGTCAGAACCATGGTTTCACAATAGCCCCAAAGTTATGCAAGGGCTGTCTGTATCAAACGGTCTAGAACTTGTGGAGAGAACAGAACTGAGTGATGCTTCATTGGAAGCCCACTTTCTTAAAGGAAAACCATATTTTACAAGGAGCTCTTGAATAGTTTCTTTAATTTGTTTGACCTCTTCGACAGTTTGGCCACCAGTGAGCAAGTCATCAACATAGAAATCACTATTATGTGGGAAATCTTAGGCTCATCCTCAAGATGCTGTTTGCCTATTTCCTGTAGAGCCCTTGTGGCAAGGAATGCTGCAGATGCAGTGCCGTAAGTGACTGTGGACAGCTCATATGTCATAATTTTCTCATTGCTGTTAGCACGCCATAGTATGCGCTGTAGATTGTGTTGATCTGCTGCCACGTTGACTTGGCGGTACATTTTCTCAATGTCCCCGCTCAGAACCACAGGATGCAAACGATATCGTAATAAGATAAAAAACAGACTGTTTTAGACGTTGGGGCCAACCATCAGTAAGTCGTTTAGTGAAAATCCTGAATCCGATTTACAGGAGGCGTCAAAAACGACGCGAAGCTTGGTGGTGGTTGAGCTCATTTTAAGCACACAATGGTGCGGAAGGAAGTAACCAGAATCATCGTCTTGATTCTTTGACAAGGACATGTGACCTAGTGTTTCATATTCTGAAATGAAATTTTGATAGTTTCCATCTAACTTCTTTTTTAGTGTCAAAAAACGTTGCAGAGCAATTGAAGAGAATCGCCGAAACGATCAATAGGAATTTTGAGAGGAAGACGTACCACGAACCTAATATCAGGAGCTCTTACAGTATGTTGAGAAAAATGTTCTTCACATATATTCTCTTTTTTGAGTATTCTTCCAATTCCCAAAATTTATTTAGTTGGTTCTCTATGATGTTGGAGTGAAGGCATTCCGAATGTGAGTGAGGATCTGCGTTTGACCTAATTTGCATCGGCCCTGAGATGATCCATCCGAAAAGTGTTTTTTGGAGTATGGGAAGACCCCTTCCTAATTTAATTTGTCCAATGTTAATCAGTTCCCAGAAAATATCTGCCCCGATGAGCAGGTCGATAGGTTTAGAAGCATTGAAACATGGATCAGCCAGTACAATATTTTCAGGAATGTTTAGTGAGGTGAAGTTGAAGGGCACAGCCGGAACATTTCCGGTGATGGCGGGCAGCATTAAGCAAGATAGTTCTACCTCGAAATTGGAGAAGTTAGATTGAATCCTGATCACTACTCGAGAAGTTATAGTTTTGATACCTGTCACAGAATATTGTATTTTTCTAGAGGTAAATTCAATAAGTTACATTTTGGGGGATTAAGTTGGCTCGACTTCCACTATTCAAAAGCACTCTACATGCTACAGGCTTGCTTGAAGCATCAAAAACCTTAATTAGGGCTGTGGAAAGTAAGATAGTGTTTGTGGTGGAGTGCTCACTAGCAACTAGACTAGAAGGGGTCTGAGCAGGTTGTTTGTGTGGACAAAGAAGTTGTAGGTTTTTCCACAAATCCATAAAGCGCTCCCTGTTCCGGTAAACGTAAACGCATCTCATAATCTAAAAATTTTTGTCTCAAAACTCCGGCGTTTTTATATCTAACCTTGAAATTGTTATTTTTTTTTGCGATAGAGAAGCACAAGAAACTCAAGAAAGTATAAACTAAACAAATTAAATCAACCCGGAAAAAAAGTGAGGTTATATTCATTTAAAATTTGGCACATGTGTCAGGAATGTCAAGATACGTTACCGATACGGATACCGCGAGAGGGCCGTAACGTTACGTTGTACGTACGGTATCTCGGCTTCCGTATCGCTTCTGCACATGCGCAGATACCGATACGGATACCGAGCAAAAAATACGGAAGCTTTATGTCCCTATTGAGTAGTGCTCCTGTTTTGAAATGGAAGCGAATTTTTTGCATATTTGGCAACCTTTGAAATTTGACATGCTGGATTCAACCGAGTCCAAGATACATCTATCCTCTAAAAAATCAATTAGTTCTGTGTAGGTGGGTAGCTGGTCGCAAATGATTTCAGTTTCCCAAGCTCGTCTATTAACGTTGTCGAATTGTGATGTTACAATGTCAAGACATCCCAGAGTTGTGTTGGCAATTTTAAGACTTTCAAGGTCCCAATGTGCTTCTGAATGCCGTCAAGTAGTTCTCTAACATGAGATTAACGCAACATAGATGGCAAATTAAAAATAGCACTTACATGATTGTTAACCAAATTTTTTTTATTTTCAAACATATCGTTCAAAATGTTCCAAGCGATATTGTAATTATTGTCAGAGATTTTGTAGAGAAGCAATTGTCTCAGCAGCTATGCCTTTTGAAGATAGGCATAGGTGGTGGAACTTTTTGACAGGTGTAAGCCTACTATTATCAGGAATTAAAGAACCAAAAGCGTCTCTGAAAAATAGCCATTAATCATATGAACCATCGAATGTGGGCAAATATATTGGCGGTAGCTTAAGATTATTTAAATCATCATCGCCACTTGAGGGGTTAGGTGGCAGGTTGCTTTTATTTCCCACATTTGACGTTGTCTGTGAAGGTGTTTGATCAATTAGGAATTTTCGGGCCCCAGAGACGAGCTGATAAAATTTGTTTATCAAAAATTTCCCTTTTACCGGCATTTAAAGTACCATGTTCTGGGTCTCTGGGATCCGAAGCCTCGATAATTAATTGAAATTCATCCAAAGTATTCCAAAGAACAAAGTAGCCTTTGCAAACGTGTCTCCAACTCTATCAAATCATTAGAGAGTATTAAAATAGTTTTCAAACCTTGTAAGCGCGCCTTTTAGTTTGCATCTGGCTTCCTCTGCCATCTCCGAGGCCATCTCGAACAACAAAAGAGACAAATGTAAGCTATGGCAACGGAGTGTAATGTATGATCAGATTAATAATTGTTAAGAAAATTCTAAATATATGGAAGTGGATCGAAACACTGTGTATTAAATAAATTGAACCAACTACCAAATGAAAGCTTGTGAGGATTGAGGAAAATAATATGAAAGGAACGCACTGACCTGGTGATTATAGGCCTTCGAAGAAGTTGTTGAGCCTCTAAATAGGCGTTTTGTTTTAGAGTTTGAAGCCTTTTCCAACATGCAGGCCGGCGTTGTTCTTCTCTTGTTGTGGGGCGTTGGCCCAAAAGTGTGGTTAGAATATATGATTCCAATATGAGGTGTTTTCTTGTAGAAAATCAACGTTGAGCTTATGTATCCGGTTTCGAAGGACCAATATGTTGTGTAGAGAGTTTAAATTATCAGAATTTCACGTTTAGAAATAATTTTATTCGAATTTGCACAATTTATTGTAATATACCCATCTATTTTACCAGAAAAAGAGGTAATATTACGAAAACTTCATTAGTTAAAAAAAGACACAGAATGCTCATTGCGCAAGACGAGGCAAAACGTACCAAATTATGTTAGACTTACGCATAGCAATGTGTTCTTCTTATTTGCACGGGATAAAAAGGGAAGGAGAAAAACCGCGTGTTGTGCAACGTATCTGTCAATAAGAAATTAAAAAAAATTTTGAATGTCACTTGTCAAGCTATGTCAAGTTGAATAACAATTGTACTTTTATTCTTGTCAGACCATGGGCAATGAACAAGGACAAGGAGATGCCCAGCGTGCAAAATGAACACCTCTCACCTGTACTAGTTAGCCAATAAAAATGCATTGCCTCGTGTTGCGCGCGCATACAGGTAAAAATAGATAGGTCTATTATAAAAATGTGGTTGTTCGAGTGTGTCATTCATAATCCTATGTTATCTCGCCGTCATCTTTCATCTGTCAATCAAGTCCTTTTCATTGCTGCGTCGTCATAATATTCTTCTTTTTTTGGTGCATTCGGGGCGCAAGTTAGAGAGCCGACGATGAGGAGCGCTCTGGGATGGGGAATGAACCATGGTTAGTACACGACACTGAACAATCATCAAGCGCCGACACTCTTGTGACGTCACTACGAATGCGCGTTTTCTTTCGTCTTCTATCCCGACTCTTTATTCCAAAAAAACTCCACAACAATTTAAAAAATTCCATTTTAGAATTTTTTGGCATTTTTTGAATTTTTGAAGTGAAACTCCCTAGGTGGGGTTCTGATATTTGGACGACAATGGAGAGTGATTTGGAAAAAGCGTCACGGGCAAATTTCGTTAGTCAAGAGAGAAGAAAGATATAACGTAAAGAGACGGAGAAAGACAGCTATTGATAGACACAAACCAAGGACTATAAGCGTAAAGAGGAATGCCTATTATTCACAAGCGCCGATGACATTTAGACATCACTACAGATGCGCGTCTCTCTTTTGTTATACTATTATCATTATGTTTTGTGATTATTCCCGTTATTTATACATTAAATATTTGTGTCCTGTGCTTTTTTCTATTGATTTAAATAAATTCAAAAATAAAGAAATTATGACAGTTTAAAATGTTATCAAGATAAAATGACCACACTGTACTGTTGTATTTCTTTTGAAATTCTCTCTGTCGCACCTTCAATCTCTCTCATTCCCTGGTTTTTAGGAAGCTTCACTTCTACCACGTGTACAGCGCTACACATGTTTTTTTTTTAGAATTATTGGTACAAGCACGAGCACTCTATCTGTATCGAGCACTCTAACTGTTCCGTATGTACAATTCCAAAAAAATCTAAAAATTTCCAAAAAATAGCAAGGAATTTTTTGGCATTTTTGTATTTTTTTTTTTGGAAATAGTAGTACGAGCACCACGAGCACTTCATCTTTTTCGATCACTCTGAGGTCTAGGGAAAAGCCCGCAATAGTAAACTCTATCTAAGAATAAGTTTGTCCCATTAACTTCTCATAAACTTACAAACGTCATTAATTTGTACCCTTTTTTAAAGACGAATATGTATCAGGTGAAAATTTATTCAGTATTGTTCAAGGCTTCCAACGCAAAGTACACAAAGACAAAGAGAAAACAAGAAAAAAAAATTGCGGTCCTAAGACTTTCAACAAATAAATAAAGATGGGTCGATATAGGACTATAGCCCTCTGTTTGTTTTCTTACGATTCGAAAGGTCCATTCTGGAGAGCAAACAGGGCTTTGTTAAATTAGAATAATCCAGCTTATATGGGAGTCTAATCCAGCAACAATATAGTAAGTCTTGCCCTAATTTTGACCGTGTGTGCGGTAAATACGATAACGTTTATCGCTGGACAGGGTCCTCAACGACCAGACCGTCCATAAACGTAAAGTTAGCGCAACTTATCTGGGGATAGCTGAAGAAAGATAAACATTATTATTAATTGGTAGAATATAACAAACTTTGAAGTGAAATGTTACTTTATACCTATACATATCAAAGTTTTAAATTTCCTGCAGATTTATTATTCATAAGTCGATTAGCCTAAAGCCGCTGAAAGGCAATCTACGGTGGAAATTATTAATGAATGAATTAGGAACATTTGTTATATTTTAAATTAATTTCTACATAAATTATTAGTTACCAGGATTGAAATAGATGAGCTTTGATAGTAGATTTATTGAAATGTATTATTAATATTAATGTTCCACATGGCATACTTTCATTATTAATAACTGATTTTTAAAATGTCCGATACTGATATTTGTCCATAATTTTTCAGGCTATGATGGCATTATATTCAATAAATCACCAGCAATTATTTCATATTAAAGCGGATGTTTACATTTAAGCTGAAGTCAATGCACAATCCGAATAGATAATTACTAAATCTCTCACAATAAGATTCGAATCTCTTGAGTTGGGAGCGGATGCAGTAATTAAAGTCCCGTGAATTTCAACTAATATCCTAATCAAGCAACAAACGAATGGATTTTTATGAGAAATTACACCCATATTCAACAAAAACTCATACAATACTTTGTATTAAAATCATTGGAACGTGATATTTGCTGAAATCTCAATGTTTTCATAGTAACTTTTAGTGCTCCTAAAACTGGGGCTTTGAATAAAGTAATGTGAGAACATTTCGCACTCATAAAAGTGTTTGATTTTTAGCCAAATACGGAGATCAGTAGCAGCTGTGAAGATAAAGGAACTGCGTTACAGTTTGAAATGGAGCGAGTTCATTTTGTTATATAAAGTTACAAATTATATATTAGTATTTTAGAGTTTGAATTATATCAATTCTTACCTATACCACTTAGCCTCAACAGTTCCAAGACACAAGGAAACACTCCCAAATTGAATCCATAATCCGATATCAGCACCAGCGTACCGTACATGGTGGAGCTGGCAGCGTCAGCGGCAGCTAAGCTCAAGCTCATTTTCAAATTCGGCGTCATCGGACATCGGATCCAGTAAGCGCTGGCTATCACTATAACGTTAACTATCATAGCTATGAGACAGCAAATGAGCAAAATCGGGAGAAGTACGTAATATTGTTCGACTTGCCCGTTATGATTCACTTCACAATAGAATGTGTCGTTGATGGTTTCATTGTTATAGTCTATTTGGGCTAAAACAAATACAAATGAAGCAATTTTTAATTAATTTTAAAGGAACTTACATAAATTAAACAATGATTCGGTTGTTGTAAGCTCTATGAAATTTCCTTCTGTAGTTGCATTGGTCTTCATGGTCATGGTGAATTATCTGAAACAAATTTGCAAATATAAATCTTTGCTCTAGTCAAAAACTTCTCCTAAAATAAGCCTAAATAATCTTGATGAATAGGCAATCAGAGATTATCTGTCCATAAGCTTCGTCTAGAAATCCAATGTACACTAACAATGGAAAAAAATCCTCTTTGATCTAGCAAGATAATTACGCAATTAGGCCGTCTATTATTTTTTCGGTCCGGCTAATGGGTTTTGCGTGACGAGAACAATGGAAAGAAAATCCAAGAGTTTTTAAAACTAGGATAAAAGAGGGATGATTTTAGAGATATTCTTCTCGTGTAAGTAATATAATTTTCCATTAGGGGAGAGATTTCTGTGTAAAGTTTTTATAGTCCAAGAGATTCGAAATGGAGCAAACTTTAACCATTAGTCAGTTTTTGGTTGTAAAACATAAATTAACTCTTGCGGTGAGGTCCATTTCGGTTTCACGACAAACTGAACTGGAAAATAGTCTTGAGTCAGTATTTGATTTAATTTCTTGAAAGGAACATATTTGTCAATTTTATTGTGTGTAACTTAGCCAACCTGCAAGGAACTTTATGAATAGTTTTGCATTTCCATATCGACTTTTCAATCCAATTTCAATTGGAATAGTTAAATCGTATATTCACTTTCGATCTGATAAAAAAGCAACAATTCCCTCTAAGTCGTATCAGTAAACGCTGCACGCAGGGGCTGTAAAAGTTAAAAGATAAAAATGTTATTCTACCAGCTGTTATTATCTAAACATTTTATGACATTGGAGCGGATCCAGATATATTTTAGTGCAGCTATGTAAATTTTTATTTAGCGATCTCATTGTTTTACATTGTTTTCATTGTATCCTGTATCGGTGATTTTTACCTATGCGCATATACAAAAAATATGATCAACATATTTGAAATTCTAGACCGTTCATTATCCAATGGAAAATTTTTTGTAAATTTATGACATCATTCGTCATTGTTACCCAGTGATGTCTATACATATAATAGCGAATTTTTGAGATGTTAACTTGTAGGTTTTTTATAGTAATAACAGCAATGGACCCAGAACAGTTCCCTGAGGTACACCATAATTTACATTCATTCTATCAGACACACTATTTTTAAATTTAACACATTGAACTCTATTACAAAGATAAGACCTAAACCAACTGGGAACAGTACTCTCAACTCCCATATTTTCCAACTTTTTCAACATTATATCTCTATTAACAGTTTCAAACGCTCCCTTAAAATCCAGAAAAACAGCTAACACAATTTTATCACAGTCAATTATCTTGAGAAAATCATCACAGATGCTCACAATAGCAGTCTCACAAGAGTATTTTTCACGAAAACCTGACTGATTTGAGACCAATATCTGGTTTCTATCGTAGTGTTGGAGCTGCTCTTTCACTATCATTTCCAGAAGTTTTTCATATACAGGTACAGTTTTTATAGGTCTAAACTCTTTATACTGTTTTGTATTGTTCACCTTGGGGACTGGGAGGACCATTCCTGTTTGACAAATCACAATTGGAGCATTTAACATGACTGGAACAATCTTTATAATCATGTTCATTACTGCATTCAGAGCATACTTTCTTTTCTTTGCAGACTTTCACTTGATGACCATAACGACAACATTTAAAGCATCTAATGATACCATAATCATCATGTACCCAGCACCGATTCCACCCAATATTCATTATCTGTTTTTCTACTAGTATATTGTAAGTATTGCTGTCAACTTCAAACACAATATTGAATCTACTATCACAGCATATACAAAAACAATCAGCAGGCTAACTCTCACGCGCATCTTTTCTGCGCACGCCGCCATTAGGGGATTCCATTTTGTCAAAACGCTGTCATTAAACGGCAGGAGCGCCGAAATTTTATTTTATTTGTTTATTTCTGACGGAGGTCATAGGCGTGCGGTGTAGAGCGGAATTTTAGCTATGATTTTCAAAACGATTTTGATATATTCGTGTTGTCATTTATGGTGTTATCTGTTATCATTCTTGTATATTCAATAATAATAATAAATTAGTAATTATAAACATTTTTATATGTAAGTAATAATAAATTAGTTTATTTAATGCCAATACGACTCTGTCACAGGAAAGAAAAAACCTAAATTAACGTTAATCAGGCCCTGTTTCGTATCCCAAAATGGCCGCTAGTGACATTTTGACGATGAATTCCTTTATTACACGGGCTGTCACTCAAGTTAGCCTGCTGATTGTTTTTGTATATGCTGTGCTACTATTATGAACTTTTGATCGGTACCTTTTGATAGAACATGAACAGCTTCAAAATTTCTTCACTGAAAACTGCATTATACGATTCACTCAATCTGGATTTCGACCTTTGCATAGTACTACAACAACTGCTTTGCACAAAGTTACTAATGATATTTTTGAAGCTTGTGATTGAGGTAAAAATACTGCTCTCGTACTATTGGATTATAGCAAAGCTTTCGACACACTTAATGCATTAGTCTAAGATATTTTGGTCTGGATAATTCTATTGTAACTTTTTTAAATAGCTATTTATCTAATAGGACACAGATGGTAATTGTTAACAACTGTGAATCTCAAGTAAGACAAATATCAAAAGGGGTGTCTCAGGAATGTATTCTAGGGCCCTTGCTGTTCTCGTTGTACACTCGTTGTAAATTTTGCCATTCTCATTAGTATGCTGATGATTCACAAATCTATTACTCCTTCTTTACTCCGGATTATAAAACAGTGCAGGATTAGATTAACAAGGATCTTAATACTATATTTGAAATATCGGAATCCCATAGTCTAATTCTTAATGGTCTCATCGTATTTGGGGAGCATCGTAATTTTCTCACAAACCTCGATGATTTTATCATTAAAATTGAGGATCAACGTTTAATGCCTGCCAATAGCTGTAAAAACTTGGGACTTTTGATGGACGCCCACTCCGCCTTATACCACATGTAGCAAATCTTCTACAAACTTCATTTTCAAAGTTCCGTACCTTGTATTTGCACCGGCAGTATTTGTTTACTGACATTAGGCTTAGATTGTGTGATATGCTAAATCTTTCTTCCCTAGCATATTGTATTGTAGCTTACTGGCCTACCTTGTTCGTTAGGGATCGGGATAGTCTTCAAACAATACAAAATGCGTGTCTTAGATTTTCGTATGGATTTGGTAAGTATGATCATATTACTCCACTTAATGGCTTAATATGCAGCAAAGCTATTTTATGCAATCAGCTACTTTAACCTACAAAATAATTGACTCACAACTATCCATATACTTGTATGAAAAACTTAGCCGTAGGTCCGATGTTAGCACTAGAGTAACCCGTCATTGTAATCTGTTCAATGTTTCAAAGTATGGCTCTGCCCTCTATCAGCGATCTTTCACTTACAATTCCGTACAAATTTATAATTCTCTGCCTCCCTCAGTGAAGTCCTGCCCTTCTGTGACAAGTTTCAGGAGAAATGTGAGAATGTTATCACTGATTAGGATAGTAGGTAACAGTTGTTACCAAATTTGAGTTGTGAAAGAGTTTCTATTTCATTTTAAGTATACTATTTTCTGGTCATGTGGGTTGTATTCAAAATGACGACTTTCTGCATTGTTTTAAACAAACTTGATACGTATTATTATTATTATCATTATTATTATTATTATTATTATTATTATTATTATTATTATTATTATTATTATTACTATTATTATAATTATTATTATTATTATTATTATTATTATTATTATTATTATTAATATTATTGAAATTGAAATTTTCTCACAGAATTGTGGTTTAATGTTTCTGTGTATGTTAGTGTTGAGTCCTAGCTGTTTCAGGTGTGATTTGAATGTTTTGGGTGTGAGGCCTCTTACTGACATAATCAGGGGGATAATAGTAACTTTTTCCTGCTTCCAGAGTCTCTTCATTTCGATTGCTAGGTCTGTGTATTTACAGATTTTTTCATTGTACTTTGTCTGGATGTTTTTATCACTGGGAATAGCTCTTTTTACCTGAAAGGTGATATCTGGTCTATTGGCGGATATCGTTTTATCTGTCTGAATATTGATATCCCAGTATAGTTTGAAATTCTTGCTTTCGAGTATAGACGATGGTGTGTATTTGTAGTATGGCTCTGTGTTTTCTATTAGTTTGAATGCTGAAGCCAGTGCTTGGTGGATTACTTTTGCTGCTGCGTTATGTCTTGCTGTGTATTCTGAGCCAGCTAGGGACTTGCATCCACTTGTAATATGCTCGATTGTTTCCTTTTGGAGGTGGCATTTCCTGCATGTATCATCTGCTGTAGCCGGGTCTTTGATAATATATTTCTGATAATTTCTGGTTGCTATAACCTTATCTTGGATCGCGAGCAAAAATCCCTTCGTTTCGGGAAAGAGCTGACATCATTTTCCCCTGTTGCAATTGCATGTCGTTGTATATGTCTATTGGATGTGTTGTTTGGGATAGGTTGAGGGGTGTATAGTTTTTATCTGCTATGCTTATCGCTGCATGGAGCCCAGTCTTTCTAGCATGAATGACCTAAGTGTTTGTATTTGCCTTGCGTGTAGTGATGTTACGTCAACAATTCCTCTTCCTCCTTCATTCCTTTCGATTGTTAGCCTTTCCTTGCATGAATTGGGGTGTGACTTCATCAGTTTCGGACCCCTTGCAAGGGTATCATCATGATGATACCGAATGAGTATGTAAGAGTAGGAATGGCGTCTGTGTTTATAGCCTTAGTAAGATTTCTAGAATTTAATTCACTTTTTAATAGCCTGATGAGTCTATTTCTGAATTCAGTTTTAAGCTCTATTTTGATGTGAGTGTGATTGAGTTTGGTACTTTGATGGAATCCTAGGTATTTATATGTTTTATTCCTGAGCATGTTGTCTTGTGTTTCATTATCGACGGTTTGGACATCATGCATGATGTTTTTTCCACTGGCCTTTGTTTATGTGGTGTACCCTAGATTTACTTATCCCAAACTCCAGGTGAATGTTTCTGTAATTTTGAGGATGCTTTTCAACTGTGTTTCCGTCGCCACGTAGAGTTTG